TAGATGTGTGGAGACCAAAAAAGGAGAGTCCAGAGAAGTAGGAGGAAAATGCAGAGAGATTGGAGTGACGTGAAGCCAAGTAAAGAAAGTGTTTGAAGAAGGAGGAAAGAGTAAGTTCTCAAATATTGTTGATAGGTCTGCAAGACAAGGACTAAACATTGGCTTGGCGATATGGCGAGCTTTTGTAACCATGGGAACCAGTTTCAGCAGAGTAGTAGCGGGGAAGCCTGTTTAGAGCAGAACAAAGTGGCAGAGGAGGAACTGTAGGCAGCCAGCAGAGACGGCTCTTCCAAGAGCTTTGCTGTAGAGAGGCAGAGAGATGGGACAGTGGCTGGAAAGAACTTTAGAGCCTGTGCTTACGAGGTGTGTGATCATGAATTACTTTGCTAACCTCCCTGTGCCTCAGCTTCCTCATTTGTAAAATGGAGACAATAAAAGGATTGTGTGAGAGTTAAATGGTTAATATATTTAAAACATTTAAAAGAGTGCTTGTCACTTAATGTGTTAGTTATCTATTGCTATATAACATTATCACCACAGGCTTAGTAGCTTAAAATAGTGTGCATTTATTATTTCATAGTTTCTGTGGATCAGGAGTTCTGGTGTGGCTTACCTGGGTCCTCTGCTTCAGAGTCTCTCACAGGATGCAGTCCGGATGTCAGCCAGGGCTGGACTCTCAGCTGAAGCTGTGCCTGTGGAAAGATTGTTTCCAAGGTTCCGTGGCTGGCAGAATTCAGTTCCTCTAAGGTTGTGGGACCGAGGGCCTAGATTCCTAGTTGACTGTTGGCTGGAGCCTGCCCTTAGTTTCCTGCCACATGGGCTTCGAAGCAAGACAGAGATCACAATCTGATGTAACCTAATCACAGAAGTAACATCCCATCCATCACCTTTGCCATATTGCATTGACCAGAAGGAAGTCACAGGTCCTATTCTCACCCAAGGAGAGGCAGTTACCCAAGGGTGCGAATATCAGGAGGTGGGGATCATTGGGGGCCATCTTAGAGTCTTCTGCCACATTTAGTAAGCGCTCTGAGTGTTAGCTCTCACCATCATCATTGTTACTGCAATGGGGGAATGATTACGTAAAGGGAGTGGAGGAAAGGGTAGAATTGAAAGAAAGATGTCCTTGATTAGACTACAGGGAAAAATTCAGTGCACACCTGGAGGGATTGGCCATACATAGTTCACCTGTTAAAAGGGGAAAGCAGAGTAAAAGCCCCACCTGTGGCTAAGCGGTAGATTGATTGATTGACTGACTGATTGATTTTTTGGCCAAGCGGTATGGCATGCAGGATCTTAGTTCTCAAGGCATGTGGGGTCGAACCCGCGCCCCCTGCAGTGGAATCTCGGAGACTTATCCACTGGACTGCCAGGGAAGTCCTAAGTGGTAGATTTGGAAGTATCCTTTTGATTGTTCGTCTTTCCTCAGTGGAAGAGGAAGGAAGAAGTGTTACATATTTGAGGAGTGAAGAGAACATGTGACCTGTCTGCAGTGGCTTTCCCACTGCAGGTGAGAATTGACCAGGGAGGTCGAGAAATTGCCTGGCATCTTGAAGGGCTTACTTGATGTTAGTAGCCGTGTATTTCAAGGGAGACCGTTGAGCATGATTGTTTTTCTTCAGCTGCTCAGGTGCAAGTGTAGAGGAAGAATAGAGCACGATCAAATAAAACAATAAATAGATAAATTAATAAAATAAGTAGTAGTATAGCTTGGCTTTAATCAGGATTAGGTTCTGCCAGGCCAGCATGATGGAGGGAGTTAGGGGCAAGAGAATGGTTATAATGATGGGTTGTGAAATGTAGCTCCGTTAAAGAGAGGCGTGAGGACATAAGCAGTCAGGGGACAGTGTACAGATGTAGAGTCTATGATTTGAGGGATGGAAGAATTGTTGGAGTCGAAGTACTGAGGAAAGGGCCAGGAAGTTAGGAGGTGGTGGTCAGAATTGTTCCTTGAAATACAGTTTGCGGAGAGGGGTACTGTTACTGATAACGAGATAGTTTTACAGTATGTAAATGTAGGGCTCATTTGAATCAGTAACTTGGAATATAATGAAGAAAAGCCACCATCTATCCCCTAAAGACTTTGTTAGGGAATACAGCTTGTGATCTCTTGGTAGAGTAGGCTGCTATCTGTAGAACATAATTTTCTCTTTGTGTTAGAGTAATTGACAAGAAGGTTCCCTGGGGCTAAAAATCGAAGACAAGCAAGAAGCAAAGGCTCACTTGTTAGGCAGTATTTCAAGATTGAGGCCATGAGGGAATAATTTACATAGTTCAAGGATTCAGGGTTTTATTTGATGTTGTAATGGTATTTGTCCAGATCAGTTTCAGATCTTGTATTTAGTTCTGACAGGTAATGTTGACATTTGCTTCTTTGACTAACCAGTATCCTCTTGCTCTGACACTGTAACAGCACTTACTTAGTGCTCCCTCTTCAGTCTGTGTGATTCTAATGGGGTTGACTGTCCCTCACCAGAGGTGTCATTGACTCAGGCTGACAGTGCAAGGATCTCATCTGTGGGTTCAATAATAGGCCCAAGGAAGGACACATGACCTAGTCAAAGCCGCGAGAGACAATTACAGTTTTGCTGGGGATTTGGGGAAGGAGAACTCTTGCTCTTCAGGAGCGGCTTTCAGCCATCTTGCTACACAAGGGGGAAGGCTGTCAAAGAAGTGAGTCAGTGTGGTGAGAAGAGATGAGAGATGGTGAAAGAGGCCTGGTTACATCATTTGAGCCCTTAATCAAGCCACTTTAAAACTACCTCTGGAATTTTTAGTTACTTTTGCCAATAAATCCTCTGTATGCCTAAGTGGGTTTTCTTCTCGTTGGTAATCAAAGGAGACCTAATAGGTAGATACAGTTAGCAGAAGGAGTTTGCCAAATCCTCTAAGCATGCATGAATAAGTGGAGTGCAGTGTAGTATGTGGAATCTTCAAAACCCCTTTTCCTTTAGGATCTTTTACATACTCTTATTTAGTTGTATAACAAAGAGAGCATCTGACCGATCTGGAGGCCTCTCGTGGCTGATACTAGCTAACCATGTTATTTCAACCCCCTGAGCCTCGGTTTTCTTATCTATAGAATGAGGAGAGCGGAAGCAATTTTGCAGGGTGATTGGGAGGATTCAATGGCATAGTGGGTATAACATGTGTAGCCCTGTACCTGACACTGTTGGCTCCCTTCCCCTTCATCTTTTCTAGCATATTGTCTGACACAGTAGTTGTTCAGTACATTTCAGTGTAAAGAATGAACAAATACCATTAGGATCTTCTTTTATTCTTGAATTTTTACTATATCCAGAGCACTGCTATTTGTTTGACTAACGGTCAAGTGGTTCTTTTTGCAAAAGAAATTGTGCTAGATAGAATTTTTTTTTTCCTTTCCAACCTTGGAAGGTCTCTCTGACTCAGTTACACATTCATGTTCATGTTGTCATTCCAGGATTACTGTGGGAAATAATGATGACACCTGACACTCACTGAGTGCTTGTTTGTGTGAGGCATTATGCTTCATACTTTACATGTACATATAAAGTATGAAGCATACCTTAAAAGTATGTACTGATTCCCGAGTTCAAACTACTTGTTAGAAGAAATGAGTTAAGGTCCATAGTAGACATTCAGCGTATATTCCCTTAATCTTTTTGAGAATTAAAACCCTTCTGATTACATATATCTAATTTCAGACACAACACAGTTAAGAACATAGATGCTGGAACCACACTGCCTGGATTTGAATCCTGGCTCCTCATTTGCTAATTATATACCCTTGGCTAAATTTTATAATCCCTGGGTGCTCCAAATTCATAATCTGGAAAATGGGGATATTCCCTGGTGGTGCAGTGGTTAGGAATCCGCCTGCCAATGCAGGGGACACGGGTTCGAGCCCTGGTTTGGGAAGATTCCACACGCCATGGAGCAGCTAAGCCTGTGCGCCACAACGACTGAGCCTGTGCTCTAGAGCTCACAAGCCACAACTGCTGAGCCTGCGTGCCACAACTACTGAAACCAGCACGCCTAGAGCCTGTGCTCCGCAACAAGAAGCCACTGTAATGAGAAGCCCGCACACTGCAAAGAAGAGTAGCCCCCGCTCACCGCAACTAGAGAAAGCCCACATGCAGCAACGAAGACCCAACGCAGCCAAAAATAAAATTAATTAATTTTTTAAAAAGTTCCCTGTAGAGACGTGAGGTATAAATGTATAAAAAGTGCATATAAGTGTCAGGAAAGTACTATTATATAACTGTTAGCTGTTATATTGAATAATTTCTTTTATTTCAGCAGATCCTTCATCATATTGGTCAGTTATAATCTTATACATAATAAATATATGTAAAATATATAAAAATATAAAATATGACTTTTGAATCATCTTAAGCTCAGTAGTGTCTCTAAATAATATCATGTCAGGTGGCGCCCTGGTGGCGCAGTGGTAGAGAGTCTGTCTGCCGATGCAGGGGACGCGGGTTCGTGCCCCGGCCCGTGAGGATCCCACATGCCGCGGAGCGGCTGGGCCCGTGAGCCACGGCCGCTGAGCCTGCGCGTCCGGAGCCTGTGCTCCACAACAGGAGAGGCCACAGCAGTGAGAGGCCCGCGTACCACACACACACACACACACACACACACACACACTAATAATAATAATAATATCATGTCAGAATGTTATGCTCCTCCAAGAAGCCTCTTCTGGTAGCCTTTCTCATCTCTGAACTTTTATTGGACTTATCTGGGAACATAAGTTAGTACTTCATTGTTGTTAAGTTATATGGCCAGTTTTAGTTTTGTGTCATCACCTCGACTGACTTTAAACACTTTGAGAGCTAAAATCATTTCTTACATATCTTAGTACCTCTTTAGTGCAAAACATATAATGAGAGCTTGCTACTTAATTAGCAATTATTACAGACAGAAAGTATATATAGAAGCCATATATCACTTTATGTTTAAAAAGATTTGTTAGCATCTAAAACATAGTCTAATAGTGTCTTATTTTGTTTTAGGTTCCTAAATATTTGTCACAGCAATGGACTAAAGCCCCTGGAAGAGGTGAAGTTGGGAAACTGCGGATTGCCAAGTAAGTTATTTATGAATTTTTGACATTTTATAAAACTTTTTTGAATTTTTTTGTACAAGTGCTTTTAAATGTAATTAGAGTTCTTTTTCAAACAGAGAATTTACCTGAAAAATAAGAAGTAATGAGCATGCCAAGGCTTGTCAAGAGATTATTAGGTGCCCTGTAAGGATTCGTGTGTACACACACACACACACACACACACACACACACACACACACATTCCTCTAATGAAAGGTGAAAATATCAAGTAAAATTTATTGGTAAAGCCTATTGGCAGTGAAGTAGCAGAGTATGTAGTTCCCTCATCCGTCTGTCCGCTCCGCATCTTTGAGGAGGTATGCTTGAGTTGGGCGTAACTGGATGCACCAAGTTAAGGACTTCATGAGAAGGATTTTGCCATTGTGCCACCATACCTATTTATAGAGGCTTTGGAAGAGGGTGGGGAACACCTAGTAAACAATCTAAGAGTATTGTTTCCTGGTTGAGAAAATAACCTTGTTTGAAAAGGAAGCCTCCATAGCTCAGCTGGTGTCAGCCATAGGCCTTGTGTTCCCCTCTTACTGTCCATTCAGTCTTAATCCAGCTCTGATCAGATTTCCATGCCCACTACTCCATTCAAATGGCTCTTGTATACCACCAATATCCACCTCTTTATCACTGAGTTTTTGTTTCGTAACAAACCACCCCAAAGTTTAGTGGCTTAGAACAAAACCATTTTATTAGCTTATAATTCTATGGGGCCGTTCTAGACAGTTCTGGTTGAGGCTGACCTGGCTGGTCTTCCTGGCTAGAATGGCCTCATTTATGTGTCCGGTGGTTGGCTTGCTGTCAGCTGGGGCAGTTGCCACGTGTTTTTCATCTCCAGCGTGCTTCTTCACATGGTGGTGAAAGAGTTCCTAGTAGCAAGAGAGAGGGAAGCCCCACTACACAAGTGCTTTGCAAGCTGTGCTTGCATCATGTTTGCCAAATGTAAATGTAACTTGCAGTAGACTCTACCTCTTGATGGGATTTGAGGCAAATAATTTGTAGTCCTAAAATTTTTTTTTTTTTTACAATCTACCACATCCACATTCTTTTCTATTTTTTTTTTAAGTTTTTAAAAAAATTTATTTTATTTTTGGCTGTGTTGAGTCTTCGTTGCTGTGCGCGGGCTTTCTCTAGTTGCGGAGAGCAGGGGCTACTCTTCGCTGTGGTGCGCAGGCTTCTCATTGCATTGGCTTCTCTTGCTGTGGAGCACGGGCTCTAGGCGCGCGGGCTTCAGTAGTTGTGGCACGTGGGCTCAGTAGTTGTGGCACTTGGACTCTAGAGCGCGGACTCCGTAGTTGTGGCACACAGGCTTAGTTGCTCTGCGGCATGTGGGACCTTCCCAGACCAGGGCTCAAACCCATGTCGCCTGCGTTGGCAGGCGGATTCTTAACCCCTCCGTCACCAGGGAAGCCCCTACCACATCCACGTTGTTAAATCTAAGAGTCAACTAGCAGCTCTTCTCAGTTGACCTTCAACAGAATTTGACATAGTTGATCACTTCTACCCTCAAACCCTTTTTTTTCACCTCACTTCTGAGACATCACTCTCTTGCTGGCTCCTTCTCATCTTCTCCATTTCTAAATGTTATTTGGACACCCTCTGGGTTTTGTTCTTTGGAGGAGCAATCCTGTGTTCTTGGATGATGTCATGTCTTTAAAGTAAGAAGCTTTGATACTTTCATGGTTTATGCCCTAAATATCAATATTTTTGTTCTTTATCTTACTTGCATTTGTTTCAGACAGATCTTTTAATTCTTCCTTTTGTTTTCACAAGATATTTATTGGAAATGGGCATGCTTTTATATCCAAAGTTCTAATGTTAGGTAGAGAGAAGTAACATCTTCTTTTCTTAAGAAACAGCTACACGTTTCATAGCAGAACTCGGCTTAAATTCAGTCCTTTGAGTGGTAAGAAAAGTCCAACAGGTTCCAGTGCCAGCTCTGTCACTTACTGTCAGTGAGACTTTGGACAGATACTTAATCTTCTGAGTTTAGATTCGCTACCTTTCCCTACCATGAATATTGCATTCCTGAAAACCTCTGTGTGAAGAAAATACCTAGTTGAGGAATGTAAAATCTTTTGGTGTGGGGAGGAGGGAGCTGGTATGGGAAACAGAGTTAAAGGAGCCAAGCTCTAGGGAAACCTATGTAAGCGCTAAGTACTGCTTTCATCCCTAAGGTAAATATTAAAGATAGCATGCTAAATAAACAGTAGTGGGTGTGCTGTGATCACCTTTTCTTGATCACCCTTTGTTTGGAAGAAAATTTCAAGCTTGTCCTTAGTTTAAAGCAGATGTTTTACATAGTTACATCTAATATGCATAGGGAGGCCGTATCCCTAGGTCGTGACCAGTTTACATGTTTTACAGCGCTGGTTTACATATTTTTCCTGTGTAATTATTAATAGTGTCCCCTCTTTCACTCTCCAGAGTGTCCTGGTTTTGGCAATAAACTGTATGTTTGCCCTTAATATTAACAGATGTGTGTATGTGTATTTTATATGTAAATTAAAAATCTAGCAGATTTTCTACCTAACATGAAATATAATCTTGCCGTGTAGAAGAGCTATATGCTTTTAATGGTGGGAACAGATTTTTAGTAGTTGATATCCTAAGATTGCTATGGAAACGCTTGAAAACAGCTTGTTCTAGAGTAGGTCTACTGGCTATCTTATTTATGTTTCTAATTTACTTAGTTTTCATTCTTCTTACTGATTACTAGATTCACTATTAAACAAGTGTAGGATGAGCAAGGAGTGGCTTAGCAGTGCCTGTGACTAAGTTATCAATACTTTAATTTCAGCTAAATATGACTCATCAAGGTTTTGTGGCTATAAACAGAAGGCTCCATTAATAGATGATTGTTGTTTAGAATGAAGTGGGATGATAACCCCACTCTTCTTTGCCAGTGAGCTTCCAGAGCAAACACTGTGTTCAGTTTTTAGTGCTGCACTTAGAGACATGGACAAATAAGTTCATTCAGTGGAGTGAGACTAGGACAATGAGAAAACTAAAATCAATTTCCTGTGAGGAACGTTTGAAGGCATGATGGCTGTTTAATAAGAGAAGACTTAGGGCAAACCAGTGAAACTGTCTTCAAATATTTTTAAAAACTAGAAGATGTATGATCAACTATTGATCCTTAGAGGCAGATTAACCATTTGGTGGGTTATCTGTGTGGTTGAAAAAACGTATATTTGGGTAAAAAATGAAAAATACCTAAGGTTTTAAAAAAGCAGTGTGGTATACCGATAATGAGTATGGACTCAGGAGTCAGTCAGCTCTGGGCTTTATCCGGGCCTTGTCACTTCCCAGCTATGTGACTTTGGGGAAGTTGCTTATTACCCTGTTTCCTCATCTGTGAAAAGGAGATGGTATTAATACCTCATAGGTTAAGTGCATGTAAAATACTCCGTAAGTGTTCACCTGCTGTCATGCCCCACATACCACAGAGTACAGGCAGTAGACCCTGCATCATGTCTGGCACCTCCCCTCCCCGTCAGCTCTCCCAGAGTTAAGCAGCAGCACCAGCTTGCTGTGCATTAGGCCAGAAGCTAGGGAGAAATACATGGTGTGTACGCTGATTCCAGCAGAGACAGGCACTGTGGAGTAAAGGAATCAAGAGAGGCAGAGGGGAGGGGAACACATGCTGCTGGGAATGCAGCTCTTCCCAAATTTGGTTCTTTTAATACCTGAAAAAAGGAGAGTCCAGAATAAGATGAGAGTAACAGCTTCTTTTAACAGTTGGTAACATTTGGGCCATTTTCGTCAAGCAATTCATGCCATGTCCCTAAATCACTGTACTTGGACTATTCTTATACCTTTGGACATCCGATGTGTACTGCATTTTAATTGGTTTATAGTTTTGCTTTAGTTTGTTTAATTTTAAAACCAGCCTTTCTACATTACTACCCTGCCTCAGCAAACTTCAGTTTTCAAAATGTTTGATATGTGTCCTATTTTACTGACAGTCATACAGTTTGTGCTAATACAGCTTCTTTCAGAGATGTTTAATTTCTTGTTTTATTTCTAAACACACTTAACTTCCAAGGTCGTATCGGAGCCCACTAATAACAGAAAATATGCAAATAAAAAACATCAATGAGATAATTTTTTGTTATAAAAATTGAGTAAGTTTAGAACAGTGTTATACTGTTGATAGGAGTTTAAATCAGTACAAACTTTCTGAAGGGCAGTGTGGCAAAACATATATGTATATCAATGCACATATATATATACACACACATATACGTATATATACGTATATAATACACACATATGTACAGATACACATTGCTGATCAAAACAAAGTAGAATAATAATCCCACTGTTTCCTCTGCTGGTTAGTTCACAGTGCAAGCATTATGTTCAGTTCTTGGTGCTGCCCTTACAGAAAGACACGGAGAGACTCAATTTATCATCATTTATTCTGATGTTCAAATTGTCCAAAGTTTAGCCAATGGAAGCTCCTTCTAGCTGGCTCTCATGATCTTTGTTTTCTTTATTGTGGTAAAGAATACATATAAAATTTACCACCTTAACCATTTTTAAGTGTACAGTTCAATAGTGTAAGTCCCATAGACTTTGGGCATGTCTTCATCATTCTTTGAGCACTTACTTTTTGTTAAGGAAAGATGTTTTAGACTCATCTTGTACATTTCTGTCTGAGCCCTAGAGTCAGTCATTTCTCCAAAGAGCTTGGTTTCCTCTAGAGGAAAATGGGATTTGGAAACTAAGCTCTGGATACCACAGGTGCTTATGGCTGCTCCCAGACCCTCTAAGTGGCTGTGTATGTACACACACATACCTCTAGGTCTGCATTTATTTTTATATTTACATGTGTTGAAGATCATGAATTTATACCAATACTCAGCTTCAGTTCAGCGCCACAGGGTGTGTTCTAGTTTCCTCCCTTTTCATATTCGTACCTCTTTTCTGAAAGTGAGAAACCTGGTTCCTGTTATTCTTAATATATT